TAATCTCCCGTTCCACATCTGGTCCCAAAACTCAAAAGGCTGGTCCCACAAAGACGCTACCCAAACACTCTGACAGAGCCAAGGGACTTGGCACGGATGCCCAGCATGGGTGTCCCACCCACGGCCCCAGCTGTCAAGTAAGGCGGGAAGGGTGACGGGACAAGGCTGATCACCAGCCACCCGTGGTTTTGTAATGCACACTTCTCTTCACTACGGGCTCACTCATGGCTTGGGAAATTATGAAATATGATCCAAAGTACACTTAGAGCTTCCATGCTAGAGAAAGCCAAACTATCATCAGCTGATAAGCAGGAAAACATGCTGACTTGTGACTAAATGGAGTCACGCCATTAGTTAGCTTTTTGTTCAAAAGGATGCTCTATATGCCTTGAAACACTTACAGTTTAGTATATACTTAATTTTTATTATCATATTAGAAAACCATGAATCGTATGTTTACTGAAAAGAAAACCCTTTGCTCAGGACTTCTTTCAAGCTTTAACTGGATGTTAATTTGAAATAATTTAGGAACTGGCAAGACATTATTTTATAAAAACTTTAATTAGTAAAAAATGTGCTGTATGTCTATAAAAAAAGCTTATGCACACTGAACTAAACTGAGTAAACTGAAATTGAGGAATAGATTCTCTCTACACTTGCAAAACAAGCTATAGAAGTCCAAAATTAAATGACGTTTATCATTTTCATGAACTGTTTCTAGAGACGGACAGTAATTAACCCTGAGCAGTGGCTTGACTTTTGTAAGATTTCAGCAAACATATGCCGCTTGTATTTTTTTAATAACACAACTTTTTATTAGGTTCCTTTAAATAAATGACTTCATGTCTGTTGTCATAATTCCAATTTTTGTTTCAAATGTATTTATTTCGAAAAAGATTTGTTTAAGTAAAAATCTTTGATTCAAATCAAAGCAATATTTTAAATAATCTATTTTTACCTGGCTTCCACCTCAGCAATGAGTAAATAACTGGGACTGAAAGATTTCTCAAACAACATTCATGTTCTTAGTCTCAATGCACATTTCAACAAGGAAACCTGATGCGATTAACAGCAGCAGCCAAGAATCACAGTCTGCAGTTTTTTGTTGAGGGGATATGTATATTCAGACAGATGTTTCTTTTAATATCAGTTGAATTGCTAAAAAGCATCACAGTTTCAATGCTTTTGACATGGTCTCCCATAACATCCTTATTGACAAACCGACGAAGCACGGACTAGATAAGTAGATAGTGAAGTGGACTGAAAACTGGCTGAACTGCTGGGCTTAAAGGATTGTGATCAGTGGCATGAAGTCCAGCAGGATGCCAGACACTAGTGGAGAAGCCCAGAGATGTATTCTGGGACCAGTACTGTTTAACATCTTCATTAATGACCTAGACGATGGGATAGAGTCCTCAGCAGGTTGGCTGATGATACAAAACCGGAAGGAGCAGTTGATACACCAGGTGGGTGTGCTGCCATCCACGGGGACACGGACAGGCTGGAGAAAATGGGCTGACAGGTACCTCATGGAGTTTAACAAAGGGAAATGCCAAGTCCTGCACCTGAGGAGGGATAACTCCATGCACCATTCCCCCTCAGACTAACCAGATGGAAAGCAGCTTGACAGAAAAAGACCTGGCAGTCCTGATGGACCAGCTGCCCTTGCAGCAAAGAAGGCCAAAAGGATCGTGGGCTGCATTAGGAAGAGCATCAGCAGCAGGCTGTGGGAGATGATCCTTCCCCTCTACTCAGCACTAGTGAGACACATCTGCAGTGCTGGGCTCAGTTCTGGGCTCCCCAGTACATGAGAAACATGGACATAATGGAGCAAGTCCAGTGAAGGGCCACAAAGATGATGAAGGAACTGGAGCATCTGACATAGGAGGAGAGGATGAGAGCTGGGACTGCTCAGTCTGGAGAAGAGAAGGCTCCAGGGGGTCTTATCAATGTGTACAGATACCTGATGGGAGGAATGAAGAACAGGGAGCAAGACAGGGAGCTCAGCAGCATCCAGTGAAAGGATAAGAGGCAATGAGCACAAATTTAAATACAGGAAATTCCATTTAAATGTAAGAAACTTCTTACAGTGAGGGTGACCAAGCACTGGCACAGGTTGCCCAGAGAAGTTGTGGAGTCTCCATCCTTGGAGATACTCAAACTCCAGCTGGGCCTGGCCCTAAGCAACCTGCTCTAGCTGGCCCTGTCTTGAGCCCCTGCCACTTCCAGCTGGCCCTTCCAGCCTCGGCCACTCTGTGATCCTGCCTGGAGCATTTGGCTCTCACAAGTGTGTTGCACCACTTCAGAAGCAGGCTTCAAAATAAACACTCTACAGGCATTTCCAGGCTTTGCTTATTAGACTGTAAGTAACCCCAAACTTATGAGTCTAAATATTAAGCTTTTTTAATCCAAACTCTGGACCATTACATCTCTTGATTACCAAGATGAAGGGAGCATTTTAAGGGAAAGCATTCTGTTTTAATATAGAATCATAGAATCGTTTAGGTTGGAAAAGACCTTTAAGATCATCAAGTCCAACCGTTAACCTAGCACTGCCAAGTCCATCACTAAACCATGTCCCTAAGCACCACACCTACACATCATTTAAATACCTCCAGGGATGGTGACCCAACCACTTCCCTGGGCAGCCTGTTCCAATGCTTGACAACCCTTTCAGTGAAGAAATTTTTCCTAATATCCAATCTAAACCTTGGCCAATTTGCCCACCTAATAATTTAGCAACAGAGAGAGATCTGTTTTCCTTTTATGTTTGCAGCTACCATAATAAAGCAGTAATTAGCAGTAAGTAGTCCCTGATCAGCTCAGTGGGGTATGTGATAAAAAGAGATGACTCCAAACAAGCACATAAAAATGAAACCTATACAAACAAAATTCTGATAGTCAGGGGTTAAACTTTGGCCCTATTCATTTTTTAAAAAATCTTAATTCCCTACAGGGCACACTATTTACTACTGTATCTAGGCCTCTTAAAATTATCCATAATCAAAACACCTAAACTAACTATTGTCACAAAGCTTTCATGGTTTAAAGGTTACCTGCAGCAGATGACTAAATTGCAATGAGCTGAAGTGAGGAGAAAGATCGTTTAATCATTTCAGTTTCTGTTTTATTTTTCTGTGTGACAGTATAATCTGTCTTTTCATGGTTGGTACACAAGAGTCTGCATCCAACACTCCTGGGGCCACGATCTCTGCTATCAGAGGGAAAGAGAAGCATATCTCTCTGTCACAGGATTAATTACAGGTCTCCAGCTACATAACAAGATTGGGTGAGTTTAGTTAGACTGTATTTCAGGCCCACAATAATGCAGCACTATCTAGTCTTCCCATATTCCACCCTGTATTACAACTACCTGAAAAAATATTATCTCCAGAAGAAACTCGCTAGATGATTTCCTCCAAATTCACAATCCTGCTGCTAGCTCTCCCCTGGAGGCTGAATTCTTTAAATCAATTCTTTTTTGCATATAATTTCCAGAGAGCAATGTTGAATTTTATATTCTGCCTTTTATATTGCATGCATTCCAGATCCTCATTCATTGTACTGCTAATATTAATTATCACAAGCTAAGAGATTGGTAGGTATTTTTCCCCGAGAGCAAATTCCCATACTCTCTCTAGTTTGTATGCTTTTACATTTTCCCTTTGGTAATATATGATTTTACTTTCAGGCTTATTATTCATTAATCTATTTTGGACTGCATTGTTCTGTATGAGCTCAGCTTCTGAAAGAGTCTTAATCATTCTCCGACTGCATTTTTCTCATCATTCTCTTTAACTTTCTATTTAGTAAAGACAGCAAATGCAAAAATTATGCTGTACCATATCACTATTCAGACCATTTGTATAAACAATGAGGTTTTAGGGTACTGCTAAGCCTCGTGATAGCCCATTAGTAATCTCTTTCCAGAATGAAATTTACTTATAGGAGAGCTACTTTATATGTCCTTTATTTTAAATCCAGTAAGTTACTTTGCCTCCACTTACACTGGCCAAAGGCTAAGACTGACATTTTCAGAAAGAAATGGTGAGAAGTCTTTTAATAAGCTAACCCATCAATAGGGATGTCTTGACTTCACTCGCATCTGCACTGTCGATCAAGGCACTGCTTGGCTAAGATGCTGACTGGTGCCGGAAGGAACAGACAAAGTCCTTTACTTGTTCTTTGCAGGAGACAACCTAAACCACCATCAGCATGTCAGCTTTAGGTATAACTTCATTTTCCTGTTCTCTTTCTTCCCCTTTCTCATTCTCAACACAAGGCCCAGATTTATTTCTTGCATATGCTTTTTTTTTTGCTAAAAGATTCCTTGTTTTTCCAAGTTTGGCTAGTTCTATTTTTCTATTTTGGCAAAACAACCAGGGGTTCCAAGAGTCTCTTTCCTTTCTGTGTAACTATTTTTTAAATTCTCAATACCATACTTGCATATCTACCTTGCTATTCTTGTCCAAAATTCCAGAACAAAACAGATTATCACCTGCTGATTCTATCCCTGTGCCACATGGAAGATGTATAGGCCGTGCTGTATGCATCCTTCAGTGTTACCGCTCCACGCCATGGCTAATAAGGTAACACAACACATGGAAATGAAGAAAGCTGAAAAGAAAATGGAACCACTGTCAGAAATCTTATGAACTCCTATATTATTGTCTCCTGAATGTCATCTGTGTGGAAGAATGTGCATATATGGTATTTGAAACAACTTACGATGAGGAAAAAGGCAGAATTATAAATGGAACGGGTAACAAAATGGAGCTCAGTCATAAACCTCGTATCATGAGGCAGTAAGTCATTAAGTCACAACTGTGGAGTCCTAACTTGTTAGCCAGCCTCCCTTTTGCATAAATGTTTCCAAGCAATTTCTGTGTCACATGCATATGAAAAAGCTATTCTAATGAAGTAAAAACACAGAATGATCAATGTCTCCTCTTTTGGTCAAGAACAAAAACTTCCTTACCACACAAAGAATATGCCTTTTATTTATTTTTATTAAAATGAGTAAAAGAAGTTCCCTCTTTCTAAAAGAATTACTGATGTAAATGCTAGGGCGAATAAAGTTCTTATGTATTAAATGAGCAATTCTCAAAGCTGAGAAAAGATCACAGTACACACCAAGGGTGGCAGTACAGATAATCATTGTCAGTGTCATTTTTCACAACATGGACAGCATAAGTTAAACACTTGCAAAGCACAAAGTTGCATTAGTACCACCAAAGCCAAATGAATTTGTGAGTGCTATACGCCGTTTTTCAGTTTTCCACTCCTGAGCTGTTAATGGAACATAATTGAGATCAAACTCTGCCTCTGTTTTCTCTAAGTTTAGAGTAGGTGGCAAAATTCCATGGTAACAGGACAGTGCAGTAAAAGCTGCTTCAATAGCTCCTGCAGCCCCCAAGAGATGTCCCGTTGCTCCTTTTGTTGAAGAAACTGCAATATTACGTGAGTGATCTTTAAAAAGTCTCTTGATCGCTTGATTCTCAGCAGCATCTCCTAAAGGTGTAGAAGTTGCATGTGCATTGATATATGTTATGTCTTCAGGTTTGATCCCAGAATCTTTTATTGCTGCAGACATACACCTAAGGAAAAAAAGAAGACAAAATGCTGAATTTCCCATTATATTTTTGTCATTAACACACATGTACAGACCAAAAGCAAAAGTACAGGACATTTTAAAATGTTTATCAAATGTGAAAATCTGCATGACATACTTTCCCAGAGATGAAAATGACAAGAGATGGATTCATCTAACTAAACATGTTAGCATCCACATTTAGCCACCTGAGAAAGACAGTAGTGGTGAGGCCACTATAAAATCAGACTTGCTGCTAAAAATTCCACAACTGGGAAAAACACAAAGAAAGAAAGAAGATAACAAACAATCTCTACAGACTTCAAAGACCCTTTTAAATGCAAAATTTGAAAACATTTGAGAGAGAAATAACTACCTGAAATCATTACAAAAATGTAGGTTCCCTACCCTGAAGTTTCTCTTGTGTAGCAACGCATTAATGTAACATTCAGTACAATGGTCCAAGAAATCCCCTTCCCATTGTAAGTGAAAAGAAGATTCCCTAGTTTTTACATTTTATTTTGCCTTCACATTTACAGTATTAGGGAATTAGGAAAAAAAAAATTTGCTCTATCAAACAAAAATATTGGGAAATTAAAGGAAAATTCTGCAGTCATCCTCCTCATGAGCTTCTTTTGCATGCTTCCCAGAGGCTAGAAGAGGTCAAGGAGACAGCACAAATTCCTATATATAAAATGAAATTTACTGAAAGTCACACTCTTTTACCCTGGCAGAGTATGTTCTGTTCCAGCCCTTGATGACCTGTGGACTGTGACTGCCTCTATAAAACACGCTTTTTTATGAAAACCACAGAAGGATCGATACAGCTTCAAACTGTAATTTTCTCACAAATTTCCCACAGAAAGGAAATGAATCACACATCTCTCCTTGCATACACAGCTTAATGAAGTATCTCTGAGCAAAAGACCACTGACTCTTTTGAAATTTATGAAAAATAAGTAAATAAAAGGAAGCTCAAAAAAAAAAAAAAAGATAGCCCAGGCTCCTGGACAAATTTAAATGTCTCCAGTACAGCCTTCTACCCTCAGAAGCATCCAGCTTAGCTTAAGCTGGAGGCCACTGATGCTCACTGTCACTAGACAGTGAGCCAACATTCAGGCAAAAAAGATTCCTGATCAACAATGAGGTAAACAGATACATTAATTTAGTTAAGTATGTCAGCTGCAAGCAACATATTTACTTAAGGAGATAACAGATTAATTATGTAGAACACACTTTATATCCACACTTCTGAGTCTGGCTTTGCCTCTCCTTTCCTGCAGGTTTATTCCGACATATGTATTAGTCTCCAACTGAAGCAGTTATTACAAGATGACAAAAAATATATTCCCCTGAAATTTTTTGACGTGGCAAATAAATAAAATTCCTACAGAAAAGTAAGAGAAGCTTATACATTTCAGATTTATTCCATACACCACTGCAGTAACGAAATATTGGTTTGAAGACTATATTAAAATGTATTATCTCATCTCAAGGGTGGAAAGGCTCAACATTTTGGAGATACCAAGATTAACTTTCAACTACTTCCCACTGTGAATTTAATTTACGTGCTACTGCAATCCTAAAATATACAAAAATTCCATTACAATATATTGCCATATCACCTCAAGGGTAAACAAGTCTGAAAATCTGAGATAAGACACTCCTGATTACTCAACTCACACCTAAGTCTGCAGAACAATTAAATATGGATCGAATGGCATAGAGGGAAACCTGGTATAATACACTTCTTGAAAAATCTGTTAACCCAATAAAGACGCAAACACAGCTTTACAATACCATGCAGAAGTTTGATATATTTGAGTGGTGATATATTGAATTTTGTTATTAAATATTCACATACACTCAGAATAATGCAAACTAAAGCTTTACTAAAGATTCCAGTGTCAGCAATAGTATTCAGCCGACATAAAGGTCACGAACTTACACACGTAATTTAACTGACAATTTCATTAGGTCAATGATAAAGATTAGATTAATATCATCTACTTGTGCACTGATTTTGATGAGATTAACAATGATAAAGCTTTACCATCTCACTAAACAGTGCTAAAGTGTATTTCTGCTATGCCCTTCCACCAACACTCTTGGCTGCATCAGAACGAAGTATTTAAACACGATTGTAGCACTGGCATATGATCTAAATACTTTCCCTATGAAGAGCTGAAGTCTTTTGTAAATGAGAATAGCCACAATTAATGCTAATTACATGTATCGTAATTATTCTAACAAACTAGATCCTCCAAGTGCTCTACAGCTTTCATCACTTGGGATTTCTTTAGGAATGCTATTCCCCTTTCAGACCACAGCAAATGACATGACCTGCTTTTGCAGTGGGGTGTCTCTTCTCTAAGGACAAAGGGTGAAGGAGAACCTGAAAAGGTTCTGTCACATCACAAAAATCTTAAAAAAGAGGTTTCCATTGAGACTTATTTGTGTTAACGGCTGTAGGCATCAAATGCAAAATATTCTCACATAGAGAAAGTTTCGTAACTCTATGCAAAAAGGCTGATTCTAGCAAGAACTGGCCTTCACCTTGTTACTGAAAAAAGAAAATTGGGGCAAAACCTTACCAGAAGCTCTTTCATTTTTCAGATTAAGCTTTCAGGCTTTTGGAATATTAATTCAAGATTGAACTACATTTCTCTAGGAAAAGCATACAGCAACAGGAACAAATGTACCCACTATAATTAACATATGAAGTAGCCATCACAATCAAAATATAGTTCTTACCTGAATGCACCATCTCCCTCTGGATTAGGTGCTGTTATGTGGCAAGCATCACCAGACAGTCCATAACCTAAAACTTCTGCATAGATCCTAGCACCTCTTTGTACAGCATGTCCATACTCTTCCAAGACCAGCACAGCAGCACCCTCTCCCATTACAAACCCTTCTCTCTGCGAATCGAACGGTCGACATGCCATTTTAGGGCTTGAGTTAAAACTCGTGCTGAGGGCCCGAGCTCTTGCAAATCCAGCCAAGGACAAAGGACTAATGCAAGCCTCAGTCCCTCCAGCCAACATGACATCAGCATCACCAGTGGCAATAAATCTAAAGGAGTCTCCAACAGCATGTGCGCCTGTGGTACAAGCAGTTGACACAGCATGATTCGGCCCTTTCAGTTGGTATTTAATGCTGATATGGCCTGCTGCCATATTGACTAAAATCTTTGGGACAAAGAACGGGCTGACCTTGTTATAACCCTTTGCTTTAAATAAAGCGGCTGTATCAGAAATCTCTTCCAGCGGAACCATTCCCATCCCAATTGCCACACCGGCACTTAAGCGATCCTGTTCAGACTGGGGAGACCAGCCGGAGTCCTTCATTGCTAGCTCTGCTGCACCGATGGCCATCACAGTGGCAGAACTCATGGATTTGATCTCTGACTTTGAGACAAAGCTTTCTTCACTGAACTGACCCTCCTCGTTTCCCCTTGGCACGCAAGCAGCCACTTTACATGGGACGCCTGCATATTCTTCCCCATCTAGAGATGCAATCCCACTGTCTCCTTGGAGAAGGCGCTTCCACACAAACTGAGTCCCCACACCAAGAGGGGACACTAAGCCAATACCTGTAACAACTACTTTCCTTCGACATGCAGGCAGTGACTTGCTGAAAGCTCTTCCGTGGTTTCGTAAATGCAGATTTAAATTCAGACTCCGGAGATGAAGATTTGCAATCTTTAATAGATCCTGCGAGCACTGTGAGAACATGGTGGAAATCAATCACTTCAAGCACATTCCTGTAACTGGGTGAAAAAAAAGACACAAACAGAACAATAAAGCAGCCAACGTGAAAAACATTCCAAGTACGTTAAATTAATAACCTGCTTTTTACATGAAAGCCTTTTTTCAACCCTGTAGAAAGGGATGCAGTTTCCATGTCTGTAATCAGGAGTAGTATGTGTTATGGCAGACAGAGCATAGAAACACACTCACTTTGTGAATGCCTCTAATGGGCTCTTCTAGCTTAAGCTGCTAATGAATATGACTTTGCACCACTGTAGACTGCGAGGCATTCTCTGGTTTTGCTGCAAAACTCCCCCAAGGGCTTTAACCACCAGCTGGCTGCAGATATCAACAATGAGCATCAACAGCTTCATTCTTCTAAGGGAGAAAGTGTGTTCACCTGAAAGCCTATGTCCTACCATTATCATGTTAAGGATGTCATCATCTCAACCTTTCTGTCAGGCAGAATGGTCTAGAAAATTCAGAACAGAGGGAGTCAAGAAACTCTTCCTGGTTCTGCCACCAAGGTAATTACACACCTTGGAGAAGACTGCTCATCTTTCTACCTCCACCTACCCTTTATTAGCCTTGGGGTATTTAGACTGTCAGGGGAGAGCACCTCAAGTGTGTTTGAGCAAGATGCACCACAACAGCACCTTCAAAGACTTGTAAAATGAACAAAAAAGCATTTCAGAGTGCAATCATTTCACACTTATGGGTAGACCATCACTTATTGTGACGTTTAATTTTGTAATCTAACAGAAATAACCATAAAAATAAATTATGTACTAAACAATCTTCCGACAGAAAACGCTTTTCCCAACAAAGCGTCATAACACTTAACACCGCATCCTCAGATCTGGCTACAAACACACAGCTTTCCCAGCTCCCTTGAAGGGAACGCTGCCAGACCCCACACATAGCGAGACGTGTCAAGCGACGGCGGAAGGCCGCTGCCGAGCACGCGTACTTCAGGCGGGAGGAGAGGACCACGCCAAGCAGCAAGGCTGCGGCGCCGGGCCGCAGCCCCTCCCTCGCACCTCGCCTCGGCCACCGGCAGGGACGGGG